TACAATACTACCAAATTACAAGTCTCTAGCACATTTCTAAACGATTCATATGACCATACCAAAGTCATTATATTTCAATCTTATTCTCCATAAGAATAACACGGGGCTCGTAAAAGTGGCAAAAACCTTCAAATTTTGAGATTAAAATTAAGTTTTGGGGGTCAAGGAGTAAAGTTACGAAAAAACATGTGATAAGTAAAATTTAAAGTAAAGTAAGGAGAATACAAAGCAATACTAGTTTTTGAAAAAAAAATTATTTTAAGTATGAAAACATGGCGAAAACCTGTAAAAATGTAATAAAAATTTACCAAATTTTGAAAGTAGGGCGTTTTTTAAAGGTGAAGGAGTGCGATTTTCGGAAAACGCCTAAGAGGGTTTTGTATAAAATTTAATTCCTGTTCCTGGATATACTTTCAAATCTTTTCTATCTCTTACCGTTTTCGAGCTACATCCGGTTGAAAAAAAAGTGTTTTTGTCGTTTTCAGAGGTCCGCCATTTTGGATTTTTGGGGGGGTTAAAATTTGAAAATGGGACTTTTGCATATTCCACCGGTATTGTAAGACCTCTTACTACAATACTACGCAAATTTGAAGTCTCTAGCACGTTTCTAAGTTGTTCAGATGAGCGTACCAAATTCGGTATTTTTCAATGTTATTTCCCATAAGAATAACATGGGGGGGGGAATTCGAAATTTCGGGGGGGTTAAATTTAGAAAATGCGACTTTTCGGATTTTTCCCGGGGGTTTGGGCACTAGACTTACAAAACGCCGTAAATTTCAAGTCTCTAGCTCATCTAGAAGTGGTCTAGAATTTGTATCCCTTAGTTACACATGCGGCTGTATAGTATTTAGAATATATATATATGTGTCCATCCGCACGATAACTTGAGTAATTTTTGTCCGATTTTCATAAAATTTGGTTTGAAGGTGTAAGGCGGGATAAACTTGAATGAGTTTGCGAACCAGCATGATCGGACTATGGGAACGGGGGTTTATGGGGGGTTTTATGGGGTAAAAATAGGTTTTTCCCATTTTTGACCCTAAAAACACAAAATTTCACAATTCCTTTTTAAACCATTTTGTAGAGCTTAAAAAAACAAATAATTTAGTATATTGAAGTGTTATTATGCGCCTAATTGCTACGGAGAAAATTAAAAAAAAAATTGTAATTTTAAAATTCCCATGTTATTCTTATGGAGAATTAGTCAACTGTTGTAGTTTGCTTGTTTATGAACATATTTTGATCAAATTTGGAAAATACATTATTTTTAACTAAACCACAGTACCTTTTAATATTTTACATAAAAAACGTGTTTACCCTCCCTGTTGCAGCAAACCTAAGTACTCATTAAACTAATTCTGTTTAAATAGGGAATAAATGTGATATTTTTAAGGAGACATTTTAGTTTACATCCAATCAGGCAAATGGAAATTCGCTAAGTCTGCAGGTTTGCTGCGGCGGGGGTATTTTATCAACTATTTCAATTTTCAACAACTAAAGTAAAATACAGTATTAACTTTAAATTGAAGGCATAACCTAAAAAATTCTATGAGTTTGGTAATGAAGAAAATAATTACTTTTTGTAGTGTAGCGAAAAGTGACGTTCAAAACACGAGTGAAATTGGGTCTATACATATTCTCGACCATTAAAAGTGCTCGATAATCTCGCACTTCAAACATGGTCTCAAATATAATGACTCACTTTCTAATCTTGTTATAAAATATACTATTTCAGGTATGACTTTGGTTTGAAACTGATATATTTCCAAAAAGAGTTAAGAATGGTTTTGACCGAAATAGTTATTTGTGTAACTAGTGGTGAAAGTGGCACTTTGCTGCACACGAGAGCAATGTTTACGCACGAGCCGCAGTCGAGTGTGGAATGATCTCGAGTGCAGCAAAGGCCTTTTTCACTCGTGTTACACATTATATTTTTCCTACAGTCACTATAAAGCATATAAATAATTAGTCTTTCAAACACTATGCAACACGTTTTTAGGTTCAGCTGGCAACACAAATGGTGCCCTAGAGAAAGTAGTACCTGCGGTCCATATCACTCCGCTATTTTTCCTCGGCAAGAAATGTGCTCCGCGTTTTGAGAATATAGTTCCTTATGTTTTTGTAATTTGAAGTGGTTTCCGCACCTAAAAGAATGCTTAAAAGGTATTTTCTTGTTTATTAAGATCGTAGGAAGGTTTTAAAAACGTTTAAAAGAAGTCCAGAAAGTTCAGAAATACCGAAACTATAAACACGAAATGACAGGTTAAATCGTAGTTATAATAGTCAATCAGCTGCTCATAGTATAATTATCTTTAAGTGTTACCAACCTATTTCCAAGCGTACACGGATTACGTGCATAATGGAACCACGCTGTTTTGTGTTGTTTCGTTGGAATCCTGATGTGCGGCAAAGTATAAACCGTACGGCAAAGTATAAACCGTACGGCAAAGTATAAATCGTACGGCAAAGTATAAACCGTACGGCAAAGTATAAATATGCAGCAATTAGCAGCTTTCTGTACTATAAACAGTACAAGGAAGCCAACTTTGTCGGGTGACTGTAGGAAAATAAACATCTGTTATCATTGTCGCCTTGGCATTGTAAAAATATTGTATAAGTGTTTGTAGAGTCGGTTGAAATAAAAAACCTTATAATTCCAAATATGTTATAATTTCCTATAACTCGTCATTCCCTTTTGCTTTTCTATCCATCTTCACCAATGAACCTTTTTCCTTTAATTAATTTTATAATTATCAAAATGAGTATATCTTCTTTTTAGTCAAAATTCATGTTTTCAGCCCCTGGACTATATTGTTAAGACAATAATAGGTTTTTTACATACCTCAGTCAAATAAGTCGACTGAGGTATGTAAAAAACCTATTATTGTCTTCTTTTTAGACCGTACACCTCTTTATAGAGAGGGCAAGGTTTATTCCGTAAGTTTGAAAGTCACCAATAGCAGCTTAGTATACCTCATTCACCGTCAAATCCAGATCCCTTATAAATCACTAGAACCTCTTGGCAATCATTTCCATGGGTGATGGTGGCTTTTAACCTCATACAAAAAAAATCAAATGTACTAGTCAACGTATCATGTAGGCCTATTTTTGAACAAACTATTAACTAGTATATTTCAGGTACAACAATCAAACTTTTTAGGGAAATTAACTTATGGTTCTCCCCAACGATCACATAAGACCGTTCGTCCTTCGGTAAATAAAATGACATACCCCCGCCGCAGCAAACGTGCAGACTAAGCGAATTTCCATTTGACTGATTGGATTTACACTGAAATGTCTACTTAAAAATATAACATTATTTATTCCCTATTTAAATAGAATAAGTTTAACAAGTACTTAGGTTTGCTGCATCAGGGAGGGTAAAACTGTTTTTTTTATGTTAATAGTTAGTAAGAAATAAAAACATTTTCCAAATTTGATCAAAATATGTTCATAAACAAGCAAACTACAACAGTTTACTTATTCTCCATAAGAATAACATGGGAATTTTAAATTTACAATTTTTTGGAATTTTCTCCGTAACCATTAGGCGCATAATAACGCTTCAATATACTAAATTATTTGTTTTTTTAAGCTCTACAAAATGGTTTGGAAAGAAATTGCTAAATTTTATGTTTTTTGGGTCAAAAATGGGAAAAACCAATTTTTACCCCATAAACCCCCTGTAAACCCCCGTTCCCATGGTCCGATCATGCTGGATTGCGGAGTTATAAAAGCATAGATTTAATATGATTAAGGAAATTATTTAAAAAATATGAAATCATGGTAAATGTGAATGGAAACTCAAATGTACATTAAGAAACTATTAAATAAAAATTAATTCAGACCAGGTTTAATTCCATAATGATCACTATGAAATTGCTGCAAGCTAGCTACAGGAGACTCCCTCTTCCCTCTTACTTTATAGTTTACTTTATTACAAAAATGTCATAAAATTGACAACCAATTTGAGAAGCATGGACCACAGAGAATTAAAGTACAGAGGAACTGTTTAATGAGTTGGTGTCTAGTGGTTGGAGTCTAGGGCAAAGTCCAACACTGTCCGCTGGCCCTCATGTACTACAACGCTCACGGATTTACGGTAGAGCAAGAGGACCCTGTGCGATAGGAATTCTCAGACAGTGAGTGCTCGTCAAAGAGAATATTTCTGGATAACATACTAAAGCTGTTAGGGCACGGTTGACGATCATTTTATAAGCAAATTTTCTCTTTTGTTTACTTATCTGTGGCAAAAACATACACAGTATGCATGCAGAAATATTAGCAAAGATTAGAGGTGTAACTCGCAAAGAATCCGTCCATCCTGTTTGCTTGAATGAATACGCCTTTACTCTTTATTTCTGGTTCACCTACCACAGATAAGAGCATTTTTAATTTGCACACCAGACCTGAGGAGAAAGTATTTGAACCCTCAGTTTCCAGTGCTGTCTCCTGGCCAGAGCGAAGCCTCACTATCTACTACCTAACAACACTAATCAACCTGCCCAAGAAGTGCAATAGTTCTAAACTTAAATCTCAGATTGAAGGATATTTCAGGTCCATTGTTGTTACTGAGCCAGTGCTCAAAGGGTTAAATCCCTTAAATAAACCCTTCTTATTTAACAGCTTGGAAACTAAATTAGGCTATAATCCAGCAACTGAAGTTTCATACTTCAGATTAATATCTAACTGGTCAATTTCAAACAAAACCATACTTTATGGTATAGAGCTTTGATATATTAGTAATTACTGTTATATTTCAACCAAGCAAATGTTTGATTTGGCTTAAGTACGATAGTCTGAAATGTACATTTTTTACTACTCAAGATATTTTTGAAGTAGTAAGGACGGATTTACATTCTATATTAATCGATGCAAGCACTCATGCTTGAGTACTTTTGCACATAGTACTGATATGGTACTACACAGGTTACTTTGTACAGTGGCAGAGGACGCTTTCATTTCTTCTGGGCAGTAAATTTGTAAACAACTTCAATGCCTACATTTCAATCATGATAATATTTACAAATAATAAAACAGCAGTACAAAATAAAAATATAGAATAAGACCAAACACAAACAAACATTTACTAACAAACACATAACATTTTAATTTAGGATGAGACAATAATGAACACAGTCACAATACACAAAACTAATTCTTCACAAATTAACTGAGGGTAAATAAAAACAAACTACCATTTAAGTGATAACCTCTTCGGCTTCGGGGGGCACGGGGCTGTCTGCTACGTCCTCAGATATGTCCTGACCTGCAGAACTGTAATAAACAAAGCTTCAGAAATCACAGTCTCACATAATAACTAGAGCATTCACTTAATTATAATCATCAGGGAAAATCTTCAACTTTCACAGAAAAATAATATAAATAATATAATATAGAAAAAATATATTTTCAACATTTCTAGGCAGTGTTATGCCATCTATCTATCTATCTATCTATCTATACTATTATAAAGAAGAGGTGGTGTCTGTGTGTGTGTTTGTATGAGCTAATCTCAAAAACTACTGGTCGGATCGGGCTGAAATTTGGCATGATGATAGCTCACATTCCCGATTAACATATAGGCATATTTTTATCCCAAAAATCCTTCGGGGCTCCGCCCCAGTGGCTCTGGAGTTTCCCATGTTAACCTTATGAGAAATGGAATTAATGAATCTTAACAGCTGTTTCAATTAAACAAGTTGGTTCTGTTCTATGATGTTCAATAGCATTAAAAGTTACAAGGATTACCAACAGGGTGCACCACTAGCACTATTATTTCTTTTACATTTATGACAACAGCAAAAGGTGAGTGAGCGTAGCGAACGAACTTCAACCTGGAGGCGAGTGAGCGTAGCGAACGAGCTAACCTGAAGGCAAGTGAGCGTAGCGAACGAGCTAACCTGAAGGAAAGTGAGCGCAGCGAACGAGCTCCAACCTAAAGGTGAGTGAGCGTAGCGAACGAACTTCAAAAAGAACCGAAATTTCTTAAACCATGTCCTCACTCATAACTGCTATAAGCATTTGATACTTATATGCCAACCCCGTACGAAGGACGGGTACTCTGCTAGTACTATTATAAAGAAGAGGTGGTGTCTGTGTGTTTGTATGAGCTAATCTCAAAAACTACTGAACCTACTGGGCTCAAATTGCACACAAATGAAGCTACAGTTCCGAGGATACATATAGAACTATTCCCGCTTCGATATTGTCCTAGGGCTCTGCCCCGAGGGCATTCAAAAATTTTAGGTGAGAGATTTAAAAGTAAATATTGATTGATGGTATCCATGGTAACAAAGAACAAACCTACAAAGTTTAAAAATGTAAACAAGCAGAACTAACTGTCAAATGAATTTTGATTTCACAATTCCACACAGCTGGTTCAAACATATTAAATACTGCACAAATATTAGAACAGAGAGGGTAAGGATTATAAATTTAAAATAATGATGTCACTAGCCCTATTGTAAACATTAACATTACTTAAATGGAGCTGTCAAACCATATGTTAATGTAATTTCATTAGTATATGATTCTTTCAGTTACATCATTTGTTTATGTTTATGATCTATTATACTGAGTTGATACTAATATTTGTGAAATGCTGTAATAATATTTTACAGGAAATAATTCGTTGTAAAATAAATCATTCATGGATATGTATAAGAAATAATTGAGATTCTATAATCATTGCCAGGCCATTTTCCTGAGTTTTATGAGGTTTATTTTTTTGATTTATTTCTGTGTAAACAGCAATATAATCCCCCTGTCGTAGCAAGTCTATAGACTGTGGGAATTTCCATTTTCCTGATTATAATTTCACTAAAATATTGTTGTAGAAAATTATCCTATTTTCCATATTTATTTATATTTTCCTATTTTTTCTATTTTTTGGTTTGTAACTGTTGTGATAGTTTTTTTTTGTTTACAGTGCAAACCATTAAACGCGTTCTTTTACTGTACCTTAAAATCTATCATTGGTTTTGTATCGTAGTTAGCGTAAATACGTATGAACGGTATTAGTTAACCAAAACGTACTATTATCGAGTTAAGTTATACAGTTATGTTTTGTTTCTGAATTAAATGGTAGGAGTGATACCATTTGGCATTTTCAAAGAACCAACATTGTCTCTTTTGCATGTGACAAATACATACTTAAGTAAATACTAAACCGATAAGGTTGAAATTTGGTGTGATGATAGCTGACATTCCCGATTAATATATAGACATATTCATACCTCAAAAACACTTTCACGATCCGCCCCAGTGGCTCTGGCTCTGGATTTTCTCATGTTAGCCTTATGAGTATTCATATTAAGGGAATAAAAGAATTTTGTCAGCCGTTTCAAGTGTACAAGTTGGTTCTATGATATTTAATAGCATTAAAAGTAAGGCTTACCAACAGGGTGCAGCACTATTATGTTTTTTGCATTTATTACAACAGCTAATTTGAACCAACTAGCAACAAAACGTTGTGGTACACAATGAAAACTTTACTTTTTCCATGGTTTAGGTGCAGTTGTAGAAAATTAGGGCTATGGTAGATGTGTGCTACACTATAGGATACCGTATAAATTTAAAGTCAAAATTTCCTTAAACCATGTCCTCTCCCGTAACTGCAATAAGCATTTTATACTTCTATGCCAACCCCGTACGAAGGACGGGTACTCTGCTAGTATATTATATATCAACGTGTTCAGAATGAACTAAAGAATATAAAAACACCAAAATAAAAATTTTGAATTTTTTGAAAATTTTTAGTGTTCAGATCCCCTTAATTACCTTTGACTACAACTTTAATTCTAATATTACCTGTATTTCATTCTCAGCGATGAGTTCAAAGACTAATAATTTAGCATTCTGAAAAATGAAGAAAAAAAACTTTAATAAAACATTTTTTCAGAATACAGGAAAAGAATGTTGTTTCGAAAGTGTGTTGTTTATTATTATTATGCATTAATTTTAAATTACAAATCAAGTTAGTAGGCCCTAGGCCTAACAGATGTATAATACATTTTTAACTTTTTTAAGCTTCTAGTCAATTAACTGAAAGTGCAAATTAAGTTAAGGCCTTTCCACACCGGCGTACTGGACGTACTGTACGTTTGGTACGTTTTTTTTTCAACAAATCGCTGTCCATGTTATCATATGGGCTCGTTCACACCGCGCGTACAGAACGTACTGTACGTACAGTACGTACGCGATGGTTTTGTGAGAATCGCTCGGAGAGCGATTTTTCTAAATCGTACGAGGCGTACGCGAGCTCGCGCATGCGCAGTGGTCACACCAAAACCACGTGCTCAGCCAGTGTTACTTGTCTGACTGCAAACGAACAAGTGTACGTTTTGGAAGTTTCTGTGCGGTGTGAAAGGACCGCGTACTGTACAAACTGGCCGTACCAAACGTACAGTACGTACAGTACGTCCAGTACGCCGGTGTGAAAAGGCCTTTACTTATAGAATACCTTTGTTTTTTGGACTTAAACAATCAAGTACTGCAAAACAAAATTATCCGATGCTTGAACATAATTTTCTACTCAAAATTGTGAAAGTTCTTCTAGAAATTTCAAAATGCTTTTATTTTACAAGTGAATTTTAATCAGCCTCCCTTTTAGCGAATTTCCCTATAGGGAAGTAGCTATTACCGTAGGTCTCATGGTAAGACTTAGGCCCGGGACCGATTTACTTTTTCATTTTAATGTCCCCAGAGGCCAAAAACACCATTCATTCAAATTTTTATATATGTATATATATATATATATAGGTATATATATAGATTTATATATATATGTGTGTCCGTGAACACGATAACTTGAGTAATTTTTATCCGATTTTGATGAAATTTGGTTTGAAGGTGTAAGGCGGGATAAACTTGAATGAGTTCGCGATCCAGCATGATCGGACCATGGGAACAGGGTTTTATGGGGGGTTTTATGGGGTAAAAATGAGTTTTTCTCACTTTTTACCCTCAAAACACAAAATTTCCCAATTTTTCTCTAAACCTTCTTAAAGAGCTTAAAAAAACAAACAATTCAGTATGTCAAAGTGTTTTTGTACGGTTATTGGTTACGGAGAAAACTAAAAAAATGGTAAATTTAAAATTCCCATGTTATTCTTATGGAGAATATTGTAAAATGTTGTAGTTTGCTTGTTTATGGATATATTTTGATCAAAGTTGGCAAATTTATTTATTTTATAGTAAGCTATCAATATTTTACTAAAAACACACTACTTTATTAGTTTCCTTGTAGCAGCAAACCTAGGTACTCGTTAAACCTAATAATGTTATTTAAATAGATCAATTGAAAATCAATTCGGACAAATGGAAATTCGCTTAGACGGCAGGTTTGCTGCGGCGGGGGTATTTAGTCAATAGTGGAAAAAGGCAGAAACTGGTTATTTTAAACAAAAAACAAGTGATAACTTAAGTATTGTACTAAAAATAGGCTATATTTAAAAAATAACAGAAATTCTACCTTACCTCCACGCTAAGTGGGTCTCCAGTTATTTTTAGACATTTTCCTTTTCCTGTGAAGACCCATCTTTAATAACTAACAATTTTGCTCCAGACTTCTTGTAGTCGGTGTATAGTCTCACCACCTTTTCCAATTATAAGTCCCACTTTAGGGCCAGGTACCATTAATTCAATCTGTAAAACAAAAAGGATTGAATAAAATACTAAGCCTTTAATCAAATAAAAAGGAAAATACATATGTCTAATTGAGGAGCTTTTAGAGAAAGGAATTTGCCTATCAAAAGTTAAAAGTTACCGTACACCAAATACAAAGAATTTGATAAATTTTAAACACAACACTGATAATTCACCTTAGAGTGTATGTAGCCTATAGCTTACTACAGACAGAGAAAACTGATAGGAATTAAAATGGATGAATTAGAAAAATTATTCTTTTTAAAGTCCTCAAGAAAAGAAGATATCAACCATATTTTAGCTATTAACCCCATGGTAACACTATTGCTCATGCAAGGCAATTTTTAAAATCTTGTTCTAATCATCTTTCAACCAAACACAAAAGACCCCTCACCATCGACAAGAGGCAAAATTTCAACATATCAAACAAAAGAATAAAAATCCTATATGGCTAAGCTTGATCTGGTAGTGAAGAATTTTTCATCCAACGTCAATCAGTAGCAATAGATTAGTTAGGTCTAAAGCAAGACTAATATTGTTAATCTATTCACATTACACTTAATACAGACCAACCATGTTTGTTTCCAATCATAGAAATTTAGCTAGGTATTGGTTAAGTTATTCCAACCTGGACAACTTTGTTACTTTAGTAGAAAATTTGATAGAAATACATCCCTACTTGCCATAATTATTTGAAAATTACTAATACTACTTAAAAATGAAAACCATGTAAATATTTCAATATTGTTGACAAAAGGCCCACTAAGACATTAATAAGACAAATTAATAGCTAGGTTCGCTTACTGTCGTTTGTTTGCTGAATTGGAATGCCGTTTTTTTTGAAGGGCCATCACAAGCATCATTTTCAATTTGGTCATCCTTCTGTGAAAAATTAAAACTTTATTAAAAACATTTATTATACAGGTAATAGATTTTTTAAATTTATTCCAAAAAAATATTAAAAAAGAAACAGATCTAAACAAATTAAAAAAAAATATTGAAAGAGTTTTTTAATAAAATTAGCAATTGATTCTTTTGTAGATTTTTTTACCTCCCTCAGTCACTATGACAGTTGAAATTATCTTACTAGAGTTGTAAAATGTATTTGTTGTTCTTATAACCATTCTTCATGTTTTGCTGTTTTTTATCCTGTTAAATTATTTTGACACTATTTATTGTACAATGTACATAAAATCGAATAAAGATATTTGAATTGAATTAAAGCTATTTCACTTTTTTAAAGTAAGAATATGTATAAAACAAAATAAAAGCACAAAGGACTTGATATTAATATTACTAATTTAAATATTGCATTCATTAGCCTCCACCTTTTAAAAAGCGTAACAAATTTTACGTTTGTTATTCTACTTCATAGGATTAGATAGTTATTCTGTGATTCTCTCCAAGAAACCTCTTATAACAATTGCAAATATGGGGAAAAACTGCAAAATGTAAAGATAGGAATACTGTTCTAAATTGTTGACATAGAAAAACTATTTATTCACTGTTGAACTAAGTGTTCAAAAAATTTTATTTGTTCAACCAGAAAAATATTTGGTAATTACTGTATTAACAATTATTAATAATGTGTGATACCAATTGTTTTATTGTTTGTAGGACAACTTATGACAAGGTATATAATTTATTTAATTTTTTGTAAACAAATTATATTTCAGTGTTAAAGGTAATTTTTTAATTATTTTAGTTTAAAAAAATTTAAGACAAAACATTATTTCCAAGAATCTTTGTTTTATTATTTTTCTCTCTTATTTTAGGCAAGCCTACCTATTGAAATGAAATGAAATATGCTTTATTGTCTTTTGAATTTTAACAAATTATTGACAACGTCATGATACAGCTAAACAAACTTATAGCACAGTCAGTTAATAGTTAATTAAATACTTATAGCTAACTAAAAAAAGGAGACATATACAATACTTGCAAAAAAAAAAAAAAATACAACTGAAGAATCTTATTGTTAAAAAAATCTTCCAAACTATAAAATGGGTTATTGGTCAGCCAACAATAAAATTTATTCTTGAAATCCTTTATAGTATACAATTTAATTATGGATTCAAGAAAGTTATATACACTTTAAGTGACAAAACTATGTGACTATTTAGAGTTTTACTTAAACGATGGAATTCTATTGATGTATGGTTCTTATTGTTATGAGTATTGTGTCTAAATTTTAAAAGATGTTGATTTTCCAAGATATAAACTATTAAGTCATAAATATACATGTTAATAATAGTAGGAATTTGAAGATTTTTAAAAAGTGGTTTGCTGTGGTCTCTCGAGCCTTTATTAGAGATAACTCTAACCCCTTTCTTTTGCCAAACAAGAATTTTCTCTACCCTAGCACAATTGCCCCAAAAAATCAGCACATACCTGAAAATGGATTGAAAATATAAAAAATATGCTGTTTGGACATAATTTAGTGGAATGCATTTTTTCAGACGGCCTAGTAAAAATATTACATGAGGAAGTCTGGTATTTAAATAGTATATATGTGAATCCCACATTAGCTGACTATCTACATACATTCCCAAGAACTTTGCTGAAAAAAACTGTATTAACCTTATCACTGTTCTGAAACAACTCTCTTGAATTATTATTTAAGGAAAATATTAATTTTTGTGATTTTTCTTTATCTAATGTTTCATCAGCCAATTTTTCAAGTTCTATATAGTTTTTACTTGTACATAAAAAAGTAGAAATCGTGTGCGTACAGAATGGTTTTACAATCAACAGAAGAGGGTAGATCATTTATATAGATTAAGAAAAGAAGGGGACCAAGGACTGAACCCTGTGGTACTCCCCATTCAACTGACACTTCATCTAACCATCTTCCTTTTATACAAACTGCTTGTTACCGATTTTGCAAGTAGCTTCTTAAAAAGATAATGGAGGGCCATAAAATCCGTAGTACTGTAATTTAGAGATAAGAATATAGCTGTCAACAGAGTCGAATGCTTTACTGAGGTCACAGAAGGTGGCCTGAGCATAAGTCTTATTTTCAAAAGAGAGATGAACTTGCCTGACTAGATCGTCCAATGCAAAGAGAGTAGATTTTCCTTTTCTAAAACCGTATTGATTGTTGTTAAAAATGTTGTGTATTTCAAAATAATTTCTGATTTGATCGTAAATAATTATTTCCATTAGTTTTCCCAATACAGGTATAATTGAAACTGGTCTATAGCTCTGAGGTTGGTCCTTAGGGCCTTTTTTGTAAATGGGACAGACTCGAGAGACTTTGAGTAAATCAGGAAAAACCCCTTCTGATAAAAGATTATTTATGCATATTGCCAAGGGATTAGCCAAAGAGTCAATAATTACTTTTAATAGGTTGTTTGACATATTGTACACATCCACACTAGCTGATCTTTTAATCCCTTTAGTGGCACTAAGAATATCACTAGGTGTGATGGCTGACCAACAAAATTTATTACAACTATCAATTTCATATTTTAAAAAAATTCATTATAAGAAGTGATTATACCTGGAGTCTTAATACTTTGTTTGATCTTGTCTACACTGTCAAAAAAAACGATTGAAAGTATTTGGCTCAATTTGCAAATCAGCTGTTTTTGTTTATTATCATAGACAAATAGAATAAATATAGACTGTCAAAGGAAGCTTCCGGCGCTCACCGCTAGGCCGCTACAGGCGAGGAGCGCAGGAGCTGTACACGACCAGCAGACGCTGCAGTGGTGTGTGCCAAAACTACACAGCAAACCTAGCGGTGGTCACCAGAACTTATGCTAACCGCAGCCCAGCTGACGGTCGATATTTATTCTATTTGTCTATGCTATTATGATTATACTGACAATGTCACCTGTTTTTGTAGCTGTTGTTATGTAATTTTGAAAATGTCATGTGACTACAAAGATATATTTATTCATATAAAAAAAAAACAGAAATGTAAATTAAAGTGATTAACGAAAGGAGCATGCAAATATGCCAGGTCTAAAAGCCTACCCTAATCATCATGAGCAAAAGTTATTGATAGTATCCAGTTCTGTATTAACATTCTTTGAATAATGTTTTATATTGCAAAATTAAAAGTTGTACAATAAATTTAATCTTACAGAGCACGTTCTGATAAAAATATCTCAACACTTACCATACTATATATATATCTTATATATCCAGGGAAATACGCAGAGAATTCGTTAAGTAGAGGTTAAATTTGCTATGTAGAGGTTCTGACAGTGATAAATATGCTATATTGAGGTGTCTTATTTTAGCCGAAATCACAAAAAAATTGTTTAATCAAGGTCGTTGTTATGGTCTGTTTGTTATGTAGAGGTAAAATATATATTGTGTCTTATGGAGATTTCTAGGGGATTGAAAAGAATTCGTTATATCAAGGTTAGACTGTATTCAAATGTACTATTTGAATAAAGGATTTTTTATTTGATTTAAATGCAAATGTGTTTAATCTGAGGATTGATGAAGTGGGGATATTTATTAATACAATACCAAATTATACATCAAATTCTAAATACTTACAGCTCTAAATAAAAAAAAATTGAAAAAACAATGGTACTTCAGTATTAAACGGAGGCCACATTTTGTCAGCGCGCTGCGGCGGTTATGTTAGGTTGGGTTATCATAATAGAAAGTATCGTTCGATTCATAACGAAGCGAGGAAAGTCCTACACACATAATATTTACGATAACCCAACCTAACATAACCGCCGCAGCGCGCTGACAAAATGTGGCCTCCGTTTAATACTGAAGTACCAAAACAATTCTATACAAACCTTTTGCTTCCTAGATGTTCTTTTTAATGGTGGTAGCTTTTCGAAATAGGAAATATCCAGGTTCGGAGTACTTCGAAGAATTCGGCGATTTGCTTCCTACAGCAATGAGAAGAAGAAATGTATAAAAAAATATTAACTATAATTAATTTGCAAAACTCAATGAGCATAAGTTTTACAGCATTTAAATCAGTTTTACAAAAAAGATATAATAGCCTACAAGGGGAGGCAGTAAAATGGCATGATTTTGTAAGGTCAAAAATAATTTATTGAAGAAAGCGAAGCAAATCTCTTATACCCCACTCCTACTTTTGTTCTACAAATACTCCTCCAGAACGGCTGAAGCGACCATTTCCATTGCCAGTTGTTTACTAGCATTGTTGTAATAATAATCAACAATACCTAACCTGTACATGTACTAACATGTGTAACTTACAGTCTGAGAATAGTTGTTGTTCAAACCGTACCATTTATTTATAATTTCTTGTGGTTTTTAAGTTTTTTTTTTATTGTTTTTCTTTTTAGTAATATAAGCTGTTAGAGAGACTAAATCAAAACTTTATCGCTCTCTAGTTCGTAAATGGTTGAGTAGGCTTCTGTACCCTATATCAAAATTGAATTTTTTGAAAATTTTTAGTGTTCAGATCCCCTTAATTACTACAACTGTACAACTTAATTAGGTACAACTTTATTTGACTACAACTTTACTTACTTACTTGATACTTGATACTTGAGCACTGCATCGGTGACCGACAATGTCGGAATAGATTGCGTCAAACTTATAACTAAAAAAGAAAGGTAATAAAACTTAAGATGGCGGCGGGTTGCCAAAAAGTGGTGTGTCCTCTAGCTCAGTCAACGAATAGAGAGGTCTGCGCACCAAATAGTCCTTCAGTTTGTCTCTAAAAGCTTTCACGTCTAACTCACGCACTTCAGATGGGAGTGTGTTGTAGAGCTTGCTGGTATAGTAAGGGTAGCCCTTTTGGGTCCAGGCAAGACGGCATCTAGGCAGGTCAAGTAAATGGGCATGCCGTGTCTGGTATGAGTGTTGGTCCTCACGTCGAACAAGTGTTGCTGAGTTTTCCTTAAGTAATACCAGGCTATTGAGGATGTATTGACTGTAGACGGTCAGAATCTTTAAATCCCTAAAGATAGGCCTACAGTGGTCACGGTATCCGGCGGACGTTATCACCCTCAGAGCCATCTTCTGAAGGAGCAAGATGTCATGTGCTGCAGCTGTATGACCCCAGAGTGCAATGCCATAGCTCACGTGGCTTTGAAAAAGAGCATGGTATACCGTCACTAAGTAAGGCTTAGATATTACCAATGTCAGTTTCCTCAGAAGAAATACTACTCTAGCAAGCTTAACACATACCTGGCTAATGTGTTGTTTCCAACTTAACTTGGAGTCAATCCAGAATCCCAAGAGTTTGACGGCTTCCTCGCCCAAGTAGTTTGGCTTGAGTGTGACATAGCAGTGTTTGTGTTTTGTCGTCGTTTATTTTGAGTAGATTCTGGCTGAACCACTCCTTTGCATAAAACAGAAGGCATTCTGCGTCGGCACTTAGCTGGTTTAGATCACTGTAGCTGGTTTAATTCTAATATTACCTGTATTTCATTCTGAGCCATGAGTTCATAGATTAAAGTTATGGCATACTGAAAAATGAAGAAAAAAAACATTAATAAAACATTTTTTCAGAATACAGGAAAAGAATGTTGTTTCAAAGTGTGTTGTTTATTATTATTATGCATTAATTTTAAATTACAAATCAAGTTAGTAGCCCCTAGGCCTAACAGATGTATAATACATTTTTAACTTTTTTAAGCTTCTAGTCAATTAACTGAAAGTGCAAATTAAGTTACTTATAGAATACCTTTGTTTTTTGGACTTAAACAATCAAGTACTGCAAAACAAAATTATCCGATGCTTTAACATAATTTTCTACTCAAAATTGTGAAAGTTGTTCTAGAAATTTCAAAATGCTTTTATTTTACAAGTGAATTTTAATCAGCCTCCCTTTTTAGTCAACATGACAACATGGAACCAAAGTCAACATGGAAAAAGGCAGAAACTGGTTATTTTATACAAAAAAACAAGTGATAACTTAAGTATTGTACTAAAAATAGGCTATATTTAAAAAATAACAGAAATTCTACCTTACCTCCACTCGTTCCGGTTCTCCATTAACTCTTAGACGTTTTTCTCTTTCGTGTGATGGGCCATCTTTAACAACTATCATTTTTGTTCCAGACTTCTAGTTTTTTAATTGTATCTCCACCTTTTCCAATTATTAGCCCTACTTTAGCCTCAGGTATCATTATTTCAAACTGTAAAACAAAAAGGATTGAATAAAATACTAAGCCTTTAATCAAATCAAAAGGAAAATACATATGTCTAATTGAGGAGCTTTTAGAGAAAGGAATTTGCCTATCAAAAGTTAAAAGTTACCGTACACCAAATACAAAGAATTTGATAAATTTTAAACACAACACTGATAATTCACCTTAGAGTGTATGTAGCCTATAGCTAACTACAGACAGAGAAAACTGATAGGAATTAAAATGGATGAATTAGAAAAATTATTCTTTTTAAAGTCCTCAAGAAAAGAAGATATCAACCATATTTTAGCTATTAACCCCATGGTAACACTATTGCTCATGCAAGGCAATTTTTAAAATCTTGTTCTAATCATCTTTCAACCAAACACAAAAGACCCCTCACCATCGACAAGAGGCAAAATTTCAACATATCAAACAAAAGTGTGACGTAATTTTCCTGGCGGACGACAAGAGGGAAATTACGCCACCGGTAAGAAAACGAGATCCCAGGATTCGCCCTAGTCTGGTCGCGGGGAGTTTCCCAGGAGTCGATAGTGATTCGGATAGCCTAACTTTGATAGCCCCGGTTGTCAGAGCTCGAGACGAACGTGGCGGGTTACTAACCACCCAACTAGAAATCACCACTCTAGCCTAGGGCTTGTGGGCAAAATAATAATTTTGACTTGACTCCGTGGGCAAATATCTAAATGACACACTACTAGCTAACTTAACAAATCAACAAGTAAGCTAAGTAGTCACTCCGCTTACCTACGGAGTTACGTCGTCGACCTGAAACAAACAAGGTTAGTACAAGATAGGCCTAACCTAGCCTAACTCCCACAGAGTCTGAATTTACTAAACAAGAAAACGAGTTGGCTTAAGTTGTCCAAGTGAGACACGAAACGAGAGAAAAAAAAACTGAAACTAAAAATAAAACTGCTTCAGGAGCTGATACGAAAAAAGAAAAACTAAAACTTCAACTTCCCCACGTGTTCAACTTAAGCAAACTTCTGCAATAATTATCAAGCAGAAACCTGTCTGCTGGGGCCAACTTCGGGGCGTTCGGGAACTTTAAAAGGGGTTTAAGAATTTAAAAAGAAAGTCCCAGATATGGATTACGAAACGTTAATCGAAATGATCTGTCACCAACTCCGATACTTTAATTAAATGAGTTGGTTAAAGCGTATGACGAGGTCTGCGAATCAGGCCTAGCCTATGAACTTCGACAAAGTTCTGCCGAAAGAAAAACCTAAGTTGTCTAAGTTTTATTGTACAACTTACCAAACGAAGTAGTAATACTGTAAAAAACGATTTTTCGCGCACTCGATGCACCACAGAACTTACTGTGACTTTTACGACGAGGTAGTAGCACGAAAACTCTTCAAATCGAAGACGAAAGGACGAATAATTAGCGAATGCCTCAACAAAAGCCGGGAATACGAATGAACCAAACTTCACAAAACTTCTTCTTACTTCACCTTCGTCTCAGAATGGAGACGAAAGTTAAAACGATTCCTGATTGGTCAACGAGTTACAGAAACAAAAAAAAACTGGCAGCGAAGGCAGGCGCATGGCAGCTTTAACAGGCTTACAGCCGCGTACCGCTCAAAGGTGACCCCGCTGCTCATCTTCTCTCCCGTAGCCCGGCCTCAGACGCAGTCGAACAGCCAAACAACCAAACTGACACCAACGTCGTCTGCGGTCTTGGAATTTGAGGTTAGGTACGACGTCAGTTTAGTGTCGCGACTAGGCTTACTCAACAGCTTATGTTTAGCTGTTTAAAGTTCGTGGTTTAGCCGTTATTTTACCCCCTACACATTTGACCCGTTACACCCCCTCCACACTTCGGAACGAAAAAAAAGAAAAACGAGAAAAAGAAAAAAGCTGTTGAACTTTCCTGCAGATGACACATCAGTAGGATCGTGGGCAGGAAAAATTGACAGAAGCCGATGCCGGACCCCGTTGGTCCGGCTGCTCCAGGGTGTTGACGACGAAAAGTGGGCGAAATTAGTAATGATGTAGACTGTCTGAGGCCGAGTTGCCTCAGAGGTCTGGACGAAAACGAATCGGGGCGAAGAGTAACCAAAGGTGAAGAGTAAGCGTGGGGTTTACAAAGGTAGGGTAGTACGGCAGGCTCGGAGTCTTGGAAGTGGGGCGAAGAGCTACTCACGAGGATACGTCACCCCCAGACGAGGGTTAGCTATGGCTGCTTGTCGGCAGCTTGACGTGACCGAAAGGACTGACGAACAACGGATCACCAGACGTCGCTGCGGTTGCGGGATCCTTGCAGACTAGTCACGTGCACAGAAAGGTTTCAAGTCTTTCACGTGAACGACGTGCAGTGCAGCAGTATCCTCATCACGCACCTCGTAGAGATTAGTACCTCGACGACCGACCACAATGCAGGGGCCATGATATTTTGGTGCTAATTTCCCTACGATGGCGTCAGCAGCAGAAGACAGGACGTGGAGTCTTCTCATCACCTGCGCGCCGACTTCGTGCGTCACCTCCCTGCGACGGAGGTTATAATATGTTGATTGCCTTTCGTAGGCGGCCTTGAGGTTATTGCGTGTCTGCGCGATCAGACGCTGAAAGTCCTCCAGTCGTTTGCGATGGGTCTCACTTAACGAGGGACCTTGGGGAGTTTCGGACACCTCAAACGAAAGGCCACGGACGGCACAGGGAGGCTTCAGTTCGCGTCCAAAACACAGCATCGCAGGAGTGAATCCAGTAGAGTCGTGGACAGCTGTGTTGAGGGCGTACTGAAACTCCAGGTGGTTGTCCCAAGACCTATGGTTGCCTTTCACGAACTGCGCAATCAGAGTCTTCACCACCCGGTTCTGCCTCTCGACTGGGTTCGACTGCGGGCTGTAGGGGGCCGTTGTCTGTAGCGTGATGCCCCAATCAGCAGCCAACTCTCGAACCAGTTTACCGACGAACTGCGTGCCATTGTCCGTAATCAACACATCCGGAGCTCCATGTCGAAGTAGGACAGCCTTCAGCTTCGTCACCACATTCTTTGCGGTTGCAGACGCAATGGAGGCGAGTTCCGTCCATTTGCTGAAGGTATCCTGCACCACGAGCAGAAATCGCTGACCCCGCTGTGATCTAGGCAATGGGCCTACTAGGTCAGCAGACACTGCGTACCACGGTCCTTGGGGTTGTCGGAAGTACATTTTCCCAGCTGGTTTTGTTTGGGGTACTTTATAGGCCTGGCATTGGGCGCAAGACCGTACATAGGCCTTCACCTCACGACGCCAGTTAGGCCAAAAGTACTCCCCACCAACTCGGGCTAACGTCTTCTTCACCCCAAGATGTCCTGCCGTAGCCGTGTCGTGGTTTTCGTGCAGTACCACGGATACTTGGTCGCTTGGCACACACACCCTCCATGTCGTAGGTCGATCCTTCTTCGAGACAGCACGATACAGCTTACCGTCGCGAAGCTGGTATCTCGAGTATCGCCCAGGGTGTTTGCTGACCAGGTTGCGAAGGCGGTCATACCAAGCACCGTGGCTGCCCGGCGGGTTACCATCGTTGTCCACGTCGGATGATGGGTCGTCAGTCTCCAGCTGCGTCGGACCAGGAGCTTCGTCGTCGATCACGTCACCCGCCGGATCATCACCGAGTGAAGGTTCGTCACCTTCAGCATCGGTTAGGCGTCGTAACCGCAACTGTTCCATAGCACCGCGTCTGGTTAAAACTCCGACCTCAAACGTAGGTTGATCGGGTTCACCAGACGAGCTGGGCACTTCCGGGACCGGCTGACGAGACAGGGCGTCGGCCACTCTGTTCGCTGTCCCCTTGCGGTACCTTATCTCGAAGTCGAATTGCTGCAACTCCATAACCCACCGAGCCAGGCGCCCACTAGGCTCACTGAGCTTAAGCAGCCATTTTAGGGCGACATGGTCGGTTATCGCAATGAAGTGGTAGCCTTCGAGATAAGCCTTGAATTTCCAAACAGCCCACACGAGAGCGAGACACTCCTTCTCGGTAGTTGTGTAGTTCTGTTCGGCCTCAGAGAGTAGCCTACTGGCATACGCAACGACCACTTCTCGGTCGTTTACACTCTGAGTTAACGCTGCTCCCAGGCCATAATTCGAGGCGTCGACCTGGAGCACGAAGGGTTGGCTGAAGTCGGGACAGGCGAGAATCGGGGCCGTCACCAAGGCGTGCTTCAGAGCTTCGAATGCCTTAGTTTGTTCGGGTCCCCAGAGCCACTTGGCGTTCTTCTTCAGCAAACCTCGAAGCGGAATGGTTACTGAAGCGAACTTCTCGACGAATCGCCGATACCACGACGCAAGGCCTAGGAAACTGCGAAGTCCCTTGACGTTCGTGGGTGCAAGGAAATCCTGAATGGCGCGGACCTTCTCAGGATCCGTGGCAATTCCATCTTGGCTCACGATGTGTCCCAAATACTTCAGCTCCCTACGGGCGAAGTGACACTTCTCGGGGTTTAAACGAAGGCCCGCCTCGCGTAGGCGGCGAAAAACAACCCCTAGAAGTTCTAGATGTTCCTCGAAAGATGTTGACACTACCACAAGGTCATCAAGGTACGCGAAGACCTTCGGCTCCAGCTCAGGCCCGATGACTCGATCCAGAAGGCGCTGGAAGGTGGCACCGGCAGAGTGTAGGCCAAACGGCATGACCTTGAACTGAAAAAGGCCTAGGCCTGGCACAGTGAAGGCGGTCACGGGGCGACTGTCGACGGCCAATGGCACTTGCCAGTAGCCTTGCTTCAGGTCCAAGGTACTAATAAACTTGGCCTGCCTGAGCTTCTCAAGGATGGCGTTAATCCTAGGCAGAGGATAGGCGTCCTTGATCGAGGAGTCGTTCACCCTGCGCATGTCGATGCAAAAGCGGTATTTCCCAGTCGACTTCCGGATCAACACGATCGGAGAGCTCCATGGACTCTCGGATGGTTCGATTACATCATCCTTCAGCATGGCAGCTACTTCATCGTTGATGACCGCTTGCATTGCAGGGTTACGAGGGTAGTGGCGCTGTTTGATCGGGACAGCGTTTGGTTTGAGCCGGATGACATGCTCAGTCAACGCCGTGGGTCCCACAACAGCATCGAAGAGAGGAAGTTCTTTCTCAAGAAAATTCTGGAGATGTCGTTCTTCCTTTGACATCAGCGGTTCCAGTTTGCCCGTCGCACAAGGAAGAGTCGTGGTCGTGTCGAAAGTGCCATCGTGGTTGACGTTTATTCGTATGAGGTTAAGGTTTCGAATACACCTCATACCCAATACGACGTCCGTGGTGAGCCCAGGCACAAAATAGGCTCCGAGTATGAGGTTTTCACCTAAGATCTGGGCCGGGATGTGGTACTTCGTCTCAATCCGACAACGTGTACCATCAGCCATCCTCAGGTCCGCCGAAGATATCTCAGGTTTTACCCCACACTCGTCGAAGTGACGAACAACCTCATCCCCGACGAGGTTTACAACTGCTCCGGTATCCAACAGAGCTTGGAATCTCTTTCCAAGGAGCAAGGTGTCGATAAAAGGTCGGATGTCGGTTGACTCAGATGATTTTCCAGCCGACACATACGAGGTGCTCACGTAATTGAGCTCGGTAGAGGTCGTAGGCGGCTGCGCTGCGGGCTCAAGTGACCTCACTATGCCTGAACCCGATTCAGTGAAGGCCGTTATGTACTGGAGCCATGAGCTCCATTCTTCGGAGGTAGTGTAGCTACGGGGCGTGGGCTCAGGCGACCTCCGGCGGCCTGAGTCCGTCTGGCGTTTCCCGCGCGACAACCGCAGCTCGTAGTGGCCACTCCTACTTGTTTGCAGTAGTAACACCGCAACACCTTCGGCTGATTGCAATCTCGGAAGACATGTCCGCGTGCATCACAGTTCCAGCAGACTGGAGGGTTGCGGTTACTCGATGATCGTGATGGGCTCGTAGAGGGTAGGCCTTGGCGCATATGGTTAGGGACGGTGGGCGTCGTATGCCTTGCCTGGTTACCCCCACTCCTTGCAGGGTAATCACCAGTGCGGCCGGTCTTTGGCGAGGTAGGTTGCAGTTTACGGTCAGGCTCCGAATATTCCATCACCGCAACATGGACGAAACGGTCCATTCGACGCCTGGGCGTGTAGGCAGTCTCAGGTACCAACGCTTGAGCAACTGGAGGGGGAGGGCGGAACAGCTTGCGCTCCCGTAGCAGCTCCTCGTATTCGTCGGCTCGCTCGATGAGGTCGGGTAGCGTGACAAAGTCATGACGTCGTATCATGAACTTGTACTCCGGCCTCATGTTCAAGTACACCAGGTCGATGGTTTCCTGGTTAGAGAAAGTGCCGCTCCGTCGGATCAGGGTTGTCAGGGCAATCACAAAATCTTTAAATGCCTCTGTTTCACCCTGAGTGCGCTTCCATATCTCGTCATCCAAGTGGCGATGATAGCCAGCAGGGAAGAACTGGACCTCGAATGCCCGCCTAAAGTCGTGGAAGGAACGCCACATCATTTTGTTGTTCCTGTACCAGAGGAGAGCTTGGCCATGTAGAAGTGAAGGCAAAGCCTTCAAAACGTCCTCTGGCGACAGAGAGTAGGCCTCGCGCAGCTCCTCTAGACGCTCCAGGAACGAAACCGCATCTCGTCTGCCGTCGAAGCGCAAGTTCCACTTCCGGACCTTGTCACAGAGGGCGGACGACGTTTTAGCAACGTCCTCATGCAGGTCATGACTCCGCAGGACGTACGAAGACCGGACACCTCCATACACATCGTTCTAAGACGGGACGGCGTACCGAGAGGTTAGCTGGTCCATCTCGTTAGCTGGCGGCTCAGCGTAGTCAGCATCATGTGTTCTTGGGCCCCGCCGTTCGAGGTTCAACACCTCGGCTAACGTGTGCTCCATGCTGCGCAGGTCGGCATTGGTCGATAGGCCTAGCATTTGGCGTATGCGGTCCAAACTTCGATGTATTGGGTCCTCGAAGGGGTATTCCCGAGGCAGAGACCCTTAAGCCGAGTCGAAGGTATGCTGGGCATCAGTAACGTCCTCTTGTCCGGCGAAGGACAGTTCGTGCGGTGCCGAGGTGACCGCAGCAGGTGGGCTCTGACGCTGGAATGTCGCAGGGGGTAGGCCTACGAGTCCATAGGTACCGGGTGGCCTCCACGCAGTAGGATGATGAATGGACCCCGTTC